TCTTTTCATATCAACCTCGCTCGAATCAACACCAATCCGGGGGGGGGGGCTACTTAATCTTCAAAGCATGAGTCTCGACATAGGCTCCTAAATTAAGGGAAAATAGAAACAAAATTTGAAGAATCTAAAATTGCTCGAGTGATAACTGCAAAAGCATAAGACAAAACCAGACTATTTTTTCTATTATCGCCCCTAGCATAACTAAGTTATGATTGGAGGAATAGTTAATGTAGTTTGAATTTGAGGCCTTCCTTCCAGAAGCCCTCTTTAGCCTCTAATAGATATAAACCCCTATATCTACCCTTTAGTTAAAGCAATGACCCATTCTTTAACTACTACCTGTAGCTTATCTAAAACATGATAGCTAACACGCAGAGGCATACATAGGATTAGCCTAATGTACAAACCCAACTTTAGGTTAACCTAAAACCATATAGGTACACAACACATAGTGACCAGAAGGGCATGAACTGGAAACAACGCAGCCTTCAACACCCTCCACGAWGGCCCACCTCCTCTGCTAAGGCTCTACAAGTGTCGACGCTCTCGACCTGCATCCTTCTGGGGGTACCCATCTTCACGCTGTTCCAGTGGTCTCTTCGCTCCTGTTGGTGGTCTCTATCGTCGACCCAGGGATCCTGTCTCCAACTTCGATGCCGAGATCCCGTTAACCTGCAACCTTCCAGAGATCGACTCTCGAAAGGKGGGTYCCAGTACTTCACTTCGCTATGCTGTTCCAGAAATTGGTTGACTCCGGGTCAGCCACAACAATCGCCATGTGGAATATATTTTTTCCTTGTGGATTATACTTTTCTTTGGTGGATTACTTTTRCTTCCAGTGGATTACAGACTATGTGGCCCAATGGACTTAAAGTTTTGCCTCAAAGGGAGTTACCCACAGACATTATGGGAACCTTACAAAAAAAGACAGAACTTTTTTTTCCTTTTCCACAATAACTGAAGAAAAACTCTTGCCACGCAAAGTTTTCAGTTTGAATTACCTTTGGATTATACTGTTTCACCAATCAGATTAATTCAAGATCAAAGACTTTCGAGGTGTTCCCATTTTCATTGCAACTAATCACCGTTTGGGGGTGATTAATTGCGAAAAGTGGGGACACGTAGGGGTCACCTCGAGTCAAATTATCAAGGAACTGTCTTGGACTCTCAGTCCTCTGATGGGCCTTCGAATGGACAAAAACTCTGTTCCACTTAGAA